AAGGAGAATCGTGAAGCGGCACAACTGAGACCCCCTCCCCCCCAGCTAGTTAGTTTAATTTTTTTATTTTTTCTGGTCAACTGAGGCTTCTTAACGTATTTTTCGTATGGATACGTATAAACCCGGTTAAAACCCACCAAAACTGGCCAAGTCAAGGGGAATCATCATCATGGAAGGTGGAGCCGGTGTCGAAGCATGGCGGCACCGCTGTGCCAGAATCCTAAAATTAGTCGGAAAAGATTTTCTACGCCGATTTTAGATTTTTGAGATAATTTTTGGTACATGACGAGTATTTTAATTTTTGTAAAAAAATATAAAAAATTCGGGACCCGTTAGGAGGCATAATGGATAGTACAATATTTTGAAACACTAATTCGGGTAAGGATCCTTCATCCTATTCTCTGTTACAGTAAATTGAGACTTAAAAATCAATAATTTCATGTTTTGTGAAAATAAAAAAAAATCATAATAATAATTACATGTCACTAGTAGAGTCAGAACTGGTCAGTGTACAATTATTCTAGTTTATTGTTATTTTCTCTTGTATTGCTTAAAATATTTACTATTGAATCTAGTTTATTAAATTGCTAGTTTGAATCGTGTTCTCGATTACCTGGTTTATTTTATTTTTTCTGCACTATTTATTTATTTCATTATTTTGTTACCCAATTATGATAAACTGTATTACTTGCTTAGATGCTCTTTTAGGTTAATCTATAAATACGGTATGAGGTGTTGACATAAGGTTGGTGGTTGTTTGGATGCTCTCGATCTTGTCCATCACGTTTGATCTGAACCGTTCGATCGCGCGTACGCGGATTGGCCACACGGCCCCCCACGTGGCCTCCTATGTCAGCGCCTCTGCCACTTAGTGCGTTCTAGTTGGTCGGGGCTGCTGACCGGGCGTCTGATGTGGCAAATTTTTTTAAAATTACGTTTTAACCTTCAGTTTCTTATTGTTCTTTCAAAGTTATCGCAGAACCCAATTTTTCACCCATTTTTTCTATTTTTTTTTAAATTTAATTCTCCATCAATTTTACTTTATTTTTACATTAAATTAAAATAAAATAAATTGAATAAAAAAATTATATTTATTAATAAAAAAAAGATTTTGGTGGGTCTTATAATTATCAATCTAGATACTGGGTTCACGAATAAGGAGATATCTCTATAGACTCTCAGGGGTCCCAGTAAGTAGGTTAAAAGGAAGAGTTACAAATCTTATGCATGAAATTAAAATATCATCTGGTTACTTATCTTCATAGGTTAATTTTAGAAAACCTGTAACGGTAGGTATGAAATAAACGTTATAGTGTTAAATAAATTTACTTAAATCAAGTGATCAATTGGTTGTTTTGTGATTTTTACTAACATTCAATTTTTCGTATTAGTGATTAGTGTGATATCCTTATTGGACTAATGTAGTTCACATTTTTATTAATAATTTTAGATCAATAAAACTAAGATTCAGATCCCAATTAGTAATAGGGTTGTGAGTAATTCACCTTTCGGACTCCCTTCAAGTGATAGTAGATATTAACTCATTAGAAAATCTATTTATTTGTTTTTAATTATTGTTTATATTTTTTTTTATGAAACAATGTAGAATGGATATTCTCGTAACCTTATTGATCATTCTAATTTATTGTGTAAGAAATAAAAATCATAATTTTATTATTCTCTTTCTCATTTAGATAATAAATTATTTTTTTTTAGTTCGAGTATTTACACAAATTATAATATTTAAACATAATATAAAAATGTTGAATGTCATTACGCTATATTTATAATTGATAAGGTTTTATATTTAAATGGAATTACAGAAAAAAACTAATAAATCCCACTGCATTTGAAATTTGCATTGAAGCATCATGTATAAAAAAAGAAAAAGAAAAAGAAAATAAGTTTCACATGTGGAAAGAAATGTTGTTTTGATGGTAATTAAAAAAGGGTGTTGTAATAATGATCTCTTTTAAAGTAAATTTACTCTAAGAAGCCCAAAAATAAAAATAAAAGCGGGAGGAGGAGATTGGAAGTTGACAGTGGGGCGTGAAATAAAATGATTTGGATAAAAACAAGGGGAGCATTAATCTTCACGTCATAAATAATTGTTATTAATTAATTAAATTATTTTTTAAAATATTCAAATATAATCTCATTATTTTAATTTTTTTATTAACTGAATTATAATAAGTGATAAATTTCGAAAGTTATTTAATAATTTATTTAAAAAATAATAATCTTATGTCTAGGGTTGTTTCAATTTAATGCAGATAAAAAATCATCATTTACGATAATAAAAATAGTGATGTTTTGGTTATAATTAATGCTGATATGTTTCTTGAAAAAAAGA